CTTGGGATAATGATGCTCTGAGACTGAAGTTTTGATGCTGTGTGAAAGTTTAATACACAAAAGAAACTAAGAAAGCAATTACAGATTTCCGAACAGAATAAGCAATACATCCATGTAATAAGTAAGTAAGCATTGTGAGTGTCTCCCCCTGACAGTGGCTCCATCATCACATGGAGTTTCCTTTTGGAGTAGCCCACAGAGCAGATCTCTGACTGACACATCCTTCTCCCCCACTCTTTGAATGTCATTTAGCTGCCCTGCTTTCAAAACCAGGACAAACCTTTAAACCCTTTATCCGTTTCTTTTGCTTTCTATTAGAATCCCCTAGCAACCATGTCCCTGGAGACAAAAGAACAAGCAATGCCGTATCTAGCATGTTGAATGGACAGAGCATGGTAGAACATCTGCTTTGCATGCACAAGAACCTAAGATCATTCCTCAGCATCTCCTGGTAGGGGGTGGGAAGGAACCCTTCCTGAAACCCTACAAGTTATGCAGTAAATAGAAGTGTAGCTTGAATAGAAACCATGACACAATTAAAGAAAGCTATTGCAATGAGTGGGTTGTGTGTTTAAAAGGACACATCAATAAATAAGGAACTGGAGCAGATATTTGGATCAGTAGGTTAAGCAGAGAGGAAAGAAGGAATGATGGTCAATGTATGATGAGATATTCTGAAAGGAGAAAGAAATCCAGAAATGTTGCACTCTGTACCTACTGGTTTCAATAAGATCAGTATGCAATCATCCCCTCTGGAGGTTGTGCCTATGATCACTGTCGTGTGTCCATGCCTTGCATTTCACGTCCCGGTTGCTCCACAATTCCATGTTGAAGTTTAGCATGGCCCACAGCATGGCTCACAGCATGAAGTGTTGACATTACCACAGTGGGCAGTGCTGAACAGGAATCCTGCTGGCATGATCACATCATAGCCTGGGTAGCACATATCAACTCTCATGCCTGGGCCAGAGCCCCCATGTCCACCCCCATAAGACCCAGAGCCACAGCAGGAGGGTGGGCAGCATTCAGAAGCACACACAGAGCGGCAAGACACTCGGGGGTCACAGTGGTAGACGAGACGGGGTCCTGGAACCGTCAGGGAGCAACCGCCAGGTTGGATGTGCACCATTGAGGTGTTGCCAGTGTCAACCAACACTCCGCCACTGCCGGCTCCAGCTCCGCCCCCACCGTATCCGCCAGATCCGCCGCCATATCCGCCACCACACCCGCCACCACACGAAGTTCCACAACAGGCCATCTTGAGTGAGTGAGAGGGATCTGAAACACACATGAAGGTTAACAGTCAAAGTACTTCAGAGGAGATGATTGGATACATGGACCTTGGACACACTCGCAAGCCATCCATGAACAAATCTATTCAATGCATTGATGTGCATCTCCCTGAAATAATCCTAACATGCTTGTCTCACCCTTAATTTGTGCATTCACTGCAGGGGTAGGAAATCAGAGCACCCCCACGAAGCAAGTAGGCTTGCCTGCCAACCTTTGCTATTCCTGACCATTAATCTTCTGTCAGTTGAACCGTCATACAAGATGCACAAATCCAACAGGTACAGCTTTCTTACACAATACAAGTTTCACGATGGGAAGCTTTGGCTGTTGGATGCATGTCTGTCATTCCACTTTTTTGAATGTGTTGAAGTCTAGGTAAGGCATACGGGGAAATACTACTAAAGCAGAACACCTAGCCATGCCTTACCACTTCACAGGAGAGGACTGGGTGAATTGACCTGGGGCACAATCCCAAGCGATCCATGAACAAAGTATCTCACAGGAGAAGGTTGAATGAGTAGACTTTAAGTCCAGCATCCTGCTTCCCCCAATGGCCAATCAAGTGTCTCCCAGAAGCCCACAAATTAGAGAATGGAGGAAACAGCTCTCTCCTACTGCTGTTCTCCAGCTATTAAACACTGGAGGCATAATTCTCCTGAGTTTGGAGGTTGCATGTAGCTTAGAAGCAAAAGGAAATGTATTCCACAAAACTCACCTGGTTCCACAAGAAGCACAAATTCAGACGAGTGAGTGGAAGAGGATGCGATCTGTTGGGAGAATTCTGAGTTCTGAGTGTTTATATATACTTTTAGGGTGTCACATAGAGCATGAATAAATGCCTGCCTCCTCTGGTTCTCATAAACCATAACCTACAAACCACATCTCTCTCTCTCTCCCTTTCTCTTTCTCTCCCTCTCAGTATTATTAGTAGCAATAGTAGTATTTCTGGAAAACTCCTCTGTTTTATTGGCTACTCATGGTCTATTCTCAACCCCATATAATAAGGTGTACATATTGCAAACTCTGAAGAGTCCTTTCTTTTAATACTTTTATGGGATCTAGTCATTCCAAGGAGTGAAAGGGAAAGCAATTGTGTGCTCAGGTGCAGTGAAACCACACACCCCCCAACCTGCTGCCTCCCACCATGCACAAAGACACACAGGACTATGTTATTGGATCAAAAAAAGGCTACAACTTTACTGATTACCGGTGTAAATGATTTGGCTCAGGCACTGGGTAATTTCCCATTCAGTCCACCTGCTTGCTGACTGCTTCCTAGGGGGTCAGTTCTGGGAAAGGATTGCCCTATGACTTACATCAAATAGCAACAGCCCATCAGAACAGCCTTGGGGAGTGTTATGGCCCTCAACCCAGATCCCCTAGGATCCTTGTAACAGGATATCCCAATTCCTGGGATGGGAATGGAAAGCCATACACCCACCCTTCTAATTAATTACTATTAATCCCACCCAATGCCCTAACTGCCAAAGTTGTGACGATTGCTAAGAGGGAGGCAAAAATCTTGAGGCAAACCACTCTGTCTGGAGATAAAATTCCTTCCTGGCCCCAAAATACAGCGACTGAAAAATTTCATAGCAAGGTCATTAACAAAACACTAAACTTGCCCAAAAGCCAAGTACAGTCCACATTGTGGGAAGTCACGGAGACAGGATGTTTGTATTACTGAGTTTCCGTGATGTAGGACATTTGTCCTTTGTTCTTTCTCTTTGCTGTCTGATGCTGAAGAGGAAGGAGCTGACTTACGATGCTCCAAGTGTGTATGTGTACATAAACGTAGTTTAGCCAAATGCTGGGCTACTGAGTCTGTACGTTGACTGTCTATACTCTGCTGATCCTGAAGTGTGTTGATGCCTCTAAGGTATCAGTCGCTGTGATGTTCAGGCTGGAGAAAGATTTTTTTTTAAAATGATATTTATTAAAGTTTCAAAGAATACAAAAACAAAAAATAAAAATACAAGAAAATACAAAATGCAGAAAAAAGAATAAAATTTTTAAAATATAACAAAAAAAATAAAAATAAAGAAAAACATACAAGATAAAAACAGTTAAAAAACACGTTAACTTTCCATAGCATATCTTCTTTACCCTTATTTCCCCGGACCTCCTCATACCTCCCTTTTTTGTATTCCAGTTCAGTTTGTTAGTTCAGCAAATCCTTACCATTAAGCTTTTACCCATTTGTAAACCTTTTTTCGTATCTCTTAAAGCATTACAGCTGGAAACCACATAGTTTCTATCCAACATCCTTCTAAGATTCATAAATTTTAAAATATTTCTGTAAATAGTCTTTAAATTTCTTCCAGTCTTCTTTCACCGACTCTTCTCCCTGGTCTCGGATTCTGCCAGTCATTTCTGCCAATTCCACAGGCTGGAGAAAGATTTTTAATTTCACGAACAAATGACCAGGAAGGAGAGAACATGCCAGTTGGGCATGTGTCTCTGCCAGACTCCTACTCGTGTGTAGGATCACCTGACAATGGTTATGGGCCCATGAATTGTGGCCACAGAGGACAGCAGGCTCAGTGCCAGCAGGGAGGACCAGAAGCAATTTCTGTCTCAGTTGAAGCCTCTGGTAACCGCTTGTGCTGGGCCCGGGGGTTAACCCGAGCAATGCGGTCCAGGTCCGGTCCCAAATCCAGGGATTCCACAAGGAGTCAGTCGGACAGGGCCAAGGCAGGTCACAAGGCAGGAAACCAGGCTAGGTCAGGCACAGGGTCTCAGGCAGGTTCTAGCACACAGCAATGTTGCTCCCGCAACCTGGGGCAGGTTCCAACAGCCTTTTATCTCTGTCGGGGTAACGGTCGGTCCTGATCCCCCGGTGGCTCACCCATCTGTCTTGCCTGATGGCAAGCACTCCTCCTGCGGGTACTGAGGTCTCTTCTTTTCCCAGACCTAGGTCTCTGCAGCTCGGGAGTTGTTGGTGGGTTACTAGACCCAGAAGCTGCCTCAGCCTCTCCTGACCCAGCTGGTAGTGGAGCAGCTGTAAGTGATTGCCCAGCTGAGGGCAATGAGGTAATCCCTGCATCTTGAGCCAGGGCAGGCTCAGGCCCCTGACTCGGCCCAGCTGGTGCCTGTTGCAGGGGAACCTGTGCAGACTGGGGCTCTTCAGAATCAGGTCCCAGACTTGGTTCAGGTGCCGCCTGAGGCAGAGGATCCGGTGCGGACTGAGACTCCTCTGGTTCCAAGTCTGAGCCCGAGTCCAAGCCATCACACAGCTGATGCCTCCTAAACCCCACCCATGATTGACCAGGGGCATCCACGCAGCCCCCGAGATGAGACAAACCTGTCTGGGCATGTTCCTGAAGTTGCACAGCTCTGGGATGTCCATAAATCATCAGTCCCGGCACGCTCCAGTGACACATAGCAGATGCCAATGAACACGCACACTCAGCAGAGTTTAGCAGAAACAAAGTGGAGATTGGTGTGCTCATTCTAAGCTTTTATTAAGCAGTATATACAGGACAAGCGATCATGGTGTCTCTCACTTCAGCTCCGAGAGAGAAAAGAAAGTAAAAAGTACAAAAACACAACAGAGTGGAAGAGATAAGGCTAGCTTCCGTTCTCAGGCTTTCCAAGCCTAGAAAGTAAACACAGACATGTGATGTAAAAATCACACATCCAGCAACAGAGGAGTGAAATGCTAACAGACCAATCATCAGAAGTGGGTAAATTTGAATTTCCCCGCAGAGAAAGGGAGAGGAGAACATCTCCTGTTGGCCATTGGGAGGGTCCGAAATGGCCCGGCACCAGCAGCGAGCTGTGTGGCACCACAACTTTCACCCACCAACAAGGTGAGGGGAATTTGCATAACTATGATGTTCTTTTGAAACATCATGGAAAGGTTCAAGTCATCAGATCCATTCATGGCTCCTGATGTCATTCTTCTCCCCAAATGGCCATGCTGTTGGACTCCGACTCCAGACCTAATTAACAGTCGGTGATCATAATGTCCAACAATATATGGAAGAAATTACACTGGCTACCCCTGCAGGATAAGTTCCCGGTTTGAGGGAGCCTTGGGTAAAATCCTCTGCACGCTTACTGAGGCAGATGGGAGTTGAAGTCCAGCAACATCTAAAGCGTCCCCCACCCCTGGAGTAGAGATACCTCTGGGTGTGATTACCGTGGATAGATCAGGGTCTCAATTCTGATTTAGCATAATGCAACTCATTATGTCAGGGGTGGGAAACCAGCAGCCCTCCAGATGTTGTGTTATTCCAACTCCCATCAACTCCAACCAACATGGCCAAGGGAGGTGGAGTCCAGCCACACCTGAAGGTCCACAGCATCCTCCATCCCTGACCTACATAGACCTTAGGAGTTCTATTTTGGTCCTCCAGGACCTACTTATATGTATGAATGACTGGCCATGATAGAAATAGTTTATTGCATTCTGCACCATTTGGTTAGCTTGCTGGAAGCTAATTGCTTTTACTGTGGCTTGGTTTCAGAGCGTTGCTAATAACTGTAGCACAGTCTCCACTTGTAAAGAAGTGACTGAGTTAGCAATGCTACAAATGCCCAGCCTACCATTCCTGGACATCTGATGGATCTACATTAACAGACTCAGGTGCTATAGATTTAGTGTTAGCTATGCAATTCAGGTTAGGTGCCCTGTGAGCCACCGTGCTCTACTATATTTGACTGTGCATATAGGCCACATTTTCACAAGCACTGAATCACACTCCTTTCCAGTAATGGATGCATAGAAAGCCTGGAAACCAATTCCATTGCTTAGTTTCAAAGGATGGTTCCAAGACCTATAATTAAAACTCCACATGAAAAGTCCTGTATAAAAGTGCCCGGAACCCAGAAGATTGTTCAGTGCCTCTAATAACGTCTGTCTGCAGCTACAGTTGAGAGCACCGGGTAAGTTTTATTTTGCTCATTCTCTTCTCAAAGCTCTTATTGGGAGTTGACAAAAAAGGTTGCTCCATCACAGGGGTCGGGAAATCTGAGGGCCACATTCATTCCTGGATAGTATTCTGAGGGCCACATGCCAGTGGTTGGTAGAACCACAGGCAAAATTTGTTGAAGCAACAAATGCAAACTTTACCTTCTGCGCAGTAGGCTAGTTTCTACACAGTCTCATAAGCCCATCTCTGTTCTCCATCCAGGCTAACAAGGGCTCAAAGACTATGTCTTAGCCAGGAAGAAATGCTCAAGGAGGGTGTGATGCACAGCTGATTAAGGAGCATGGAGGAGTAGTCCATAATGTTCTTGGATTGCAATCAACCCCACTCAATGTGGCCTGTGGTCAGTGATGATGGGAGTTGTAGTTTCATAATGTCATTGGATTCCATCACCCAGCAGCTTCAGCCAGCATAGCTAGTGTTCAGGGATGATGGGACCTGTAGTCCAACAACATCTGGAGGGCCACAGATGTCCCTCGTCCTTGTTTTGCAACATGGGTTCTGTGAATCTCTACTTTCATTCCCCCTCCCCGAGAATTTCCAAAAGTAGACAATACGGCTTTGATTATTTCATTTCATCCCTCCCTCCCTCTTTCCTTCCCTCTTGTGTTCAGTAGGATCCTGAAAGTCCCACAAGATGACATGCTGCATTTCTCCAGGAGTTTCCAGAGATGGTGGATTTTATGGGAGCAACAGTGAAGTGCTTGTTGACATTGCTCCTGAGAGCAGAGTGCGGGTCCAACCGGGACACTGTGCCCTCACACTCCCTCCAGCCCAAGTCAGCACCACCAATGAACCCTTCAGAATATCTTGCCACTATGTAAGTTATACCAAAAAGGCAGAGATGAAGTGTGTGTGTGTGTGTGTGTGTGTGTGTGTGTGTGTGAGAGAGAGAGAGAGAGAGAGAGAGAGAGAGAGAGAAAGCAGACTGAGCAACTGAGCAACTGCAACTTGATTGACCACCATCTACAATGTCCACCATTTGTGGCTACTGTGGCCTAGTGTCAGGGCTGGAATCGGACACAGGTCAGCCCTAAAGGAAGCACGTCTCCTTGTCAGTGAAGTTAATGCTTTAATCGAGGAAACAAACATGCAACTCAGCCTAGTGGTCTCAGCAACACTTCCCAGTAGGTCTTGCACCTATGGAGCAGTTGCCAGGACTGAAGGTCCCTGCCTTACATACTTCTCTAAGGCGCCTCCACTCCCGAATGTTTCCCAAGCAGTCTTAAACTGCACTTGCACACCTCTGACCTCTGTTCTGCTCTTCTCATTACCCTGTGAATTCTTGAAGACCAGGGGGGAGGCAAGCTTGTTGCAGCAGGAGAGGGAGACTTCCAGGATTTTTGAGCAGTCCTTAGACCTCCTCTTTTGCTTCAGTCTTGGAGTATGAACTGCTCCCTGTCACAAACTCTTTCTGCTCACTAAACCCTTTGGCATCCAACACCTCCTCCCAATCTTCTCCCTCTGACCTCTCCTTGTTCTCCCACCACCAATTCCTTGGCTCTGAGCCTTCTTCATCCTCTTCGTCCAGCCAGTCCATGCCATCTAGTTCGAACAGAGGTGGTAAACATGTGTCTTAAATAAATACCAACCAGCCAGGGAGCCACATCACCACAATGGTGGTGTTAAAAATGTCCAGTTAGTAGACAGAAGAAGCTCCTAAAGTTCTAAAAAGAGCCTGCTGGATTAGGCTAGTGACCCATTTATTCCAGCATCCTGCTCTCGCAGTGGCTGCCCAGATGCCCCAATGGGAAACCCAGAAGCAGGATCAAACACAAGAGTCCTCTCCATTCCTGTGCTTTCCAGCAACTGGTCTTCTGAGGCAGGACTGCCTCCAACTGTGGAGACAGGGCATAGCCATCATGACTAGCTTAGACTGCAAATCGGCTCATTCCTGAGATCATCCCTGGCTATTTACTCCCCACCCCAAGTCAATAACAAACAGGTGATCAGGAAGTACTGTCAACAGTTAATTGCACAGCTCCAGAGTGCCTTGTGGATACTTTCAGACATGCCTGAGTTCCGTTGTGGGGAAGGCACTTGTGAAAGTGCACCTTGCATTCCTGAAGGTGGCTCACGGTGAGCTAGACAGCTGATAGCTCAGTGCTAGAGGTCAAACTTCAACAACATCTCCAGGTAGGGCTGTGAATGTCCCTTGCCTGGAACCCTGTACAGTCATACCTCATGTTACGTTTGCTTCAGGTTGCGTGTTTTCAGGTTGCGTCCTGCGGCGACCCGAAAGTAACAGAATGGGTTACTTCTGGGTTTTGCCGCTCGTGCATGCGCAGACGTGCAAAATGGCATCATGCGCAGAAATGGCGAATTGCGACCCGCGCATGCGCAGATGCACAGACACAGGTTGCATTCTGTTCAGGTTGCGAATGGGCCTCCGGAACGGATCACGTTCGCAACCAGAGGTACCACTGTAGTCTAAACTGATAGTGCAGAGCTAAATGGACCAATGATATAACTCAGCATAACGCACTTTCCTAAGCTTCTGTTTAGGCATGAATATTCCAACTCTACAGTTCTATGATTTTATGTGTGGTACTTTTTATTTATTTATTTAAATGAACCTGGATGCAAAGTAACTCCTGCACAAAGTTAATGGCAAATAATCCAGAATCCAACCAGAATTCTGACTGATGTGGTGAGTTGAGAGACTGACTTGTCCTGCACTTCCCTTGTTATAGAAGGAAGCCAGCTGCAACATGCTTCCCGCTATGAAGTCTTGCTGCTCTCCAAACAACTGGACATGTCCCTCTCGTACTGGATCCTGCAGAGGATGGACTGGTTCATCAAGTCTTGGAACGCGAGTAGGAATACAGCCACAAAGCTGTGAAGTGGTTTTCCCAGGGGGATATCTGTGTAGCAATGTTCATAATGGAAAAGTCTCCTGTTGCCAGGCCTGCAAACCATGCTAGTCCCCAATGCAGTCTACGAAACACATAATAAATGGGACATGTAAAATGCTCATCTGTAAAGGCTCTGCTCTTATAAAGTGCATGTCATGTAAACTTTATTTTATTTTATTATTTTATTTTTAGTTGAATTCTCTTTAAGCCAGTTATGGGGAACTTTGTGACTCTCAAGATGCTGTTGTATGTCACTCCCGTCATTCCTGATGGGATACTGATGTGAAGTGCATGTCAACAATATCTGCCAGGAGCAGGTTAACTTATTTTTGCCTTAAACTCCAAACCCTATTTCTTTGCTTTGCATGTGCTAACTGGCACCTGCTTCAGTGCCATTTCCTCTCTTGGGGAATTGGTGCAACTTCTTTCTGGGAGGTGATTCCAACCAATAAGGGATCATGCCGTCAGTCCCAACCACTCAGGGATCACAGTATGGTGATGTCACAATGACAAGCCAATTCAGATTTGAACAAGTGGTGATGTAGTGTAGGCACTTGTGTTGTATATCCTCTTACTAAACATGGGATGAATTGCATTACCCAGTGTGATATCCCAAGTACCATGACTTTTTTTTAAAAAGGACCCTCCCAGGCAAATCCATCATTGCAGAGGTATACCTCACTGTAAAAATATGTAACTTTCTAATGCAAAGATTCCCTGTCTCTCTTACTTGGGGGTATGTATACAACTGAGTGCTTCAATAAAATCCTTGTACTTTTTAATTGCTTTTGCATGTCTAATTCATTCCATGGCTCCTATTCCCTTTCCATTGTGAACCAAATTAATGAAAATATCAGGTATCTGAACATCAATTCCTTACCTTCAGAGCTACTGGTATTTAAATCTACAGTGTGGTCAGGACTGGGATTGGGTTGGTGTGCTGTGATGCAAGAGGAGGGGGAGAAAGAAACAAGGGGGGGGGCTGACTGCTGATAATCTTAGTTGGAGGAGAAGACAATGCCCTTTTGAACCACTTTAAGACTCCTTAGGTAAAGGTAAGGGGACCCCTGACCATTAGGTCCAGTCGTGACCGACTCTGGGGTTGCGGCACTCATCTCGCTTTATTGGCCGAGGGAGGCAGCGTACAGCTTCCGGGTCATGTGGTTAGCATGACGAAGCTGCTTCTGGCGAACCAGAGCAGCGCACGGAAACACCGTTTACATTCCTGACGGAGAGGTACCTATTTATTTACTTGCACTTTGACGTGCTTTCGAACTGCTAGGTTGGCAGGAGCTGGGACAGAGCAACGGGAGCACGCCCTGTCGCGGGGATTCAAACCGCCGACCTTCTGATCAGCAAGTGCTAGGTTCTGTGGTTTAACCCACAGTGCCACCTGCGTCCCCTTGAGACTCCTTAGTGTAGTGATAAAACGGGATATCAAATCCAAACTCTTTCTCCTCCTCCTCCTCTTCTTCTTTTCCTGACTTCAATTGCTTGGAAAGAGGGAGCAGGGATGCCAACCCTTCCCTCCCCGACTCCTGTTGCCCCCAGAGAGGAGAACCTCAGTGGAGGCTCAGGAGAGCTTGGAGCAACTGAGAGGTGGCACTGGCTGAATAGAAGCCTGAACAGGAGGGTTCAGTCTTGTCACCTAGAACCAGGTATCACCTGGGCAGAGAGGAGCAAACCCATCCAGCCCAAAGGAGTGCACATCTGCGGTCCCAACATTCTCAGAGAGGGCAATCAACTTTTGTGCATGACAGCACCATGCCTGATTTCTAAAAAAACTTTACAGGCGGAGCATGGAAACTTGAGGTATTAGAAGATGTGGTATGGAAGGGACAGGGTGGAAATCCCCCCCTTCCCCGGTGAAATAAGCAGTCTGTCAGGATCTCAGGCATACACGAGCAAGCTCTCACAATAATTAAGGTGTCTCTGGCAGATTTATGGTACGTTTATTTACAACAGGGGTCAGCAAATTTTTCAGCAGCGGGCCGGTCCACTGTCCCACAGACCTTGTGGGGGGCTGGACTATATTTTGAAGAAAAAAATAATAAACCAATTCCTATGCCCCACAAAGAACCCAGAAATGCATTTTAAATAAAAGCACACATTCTACTCATGTAAATATATGCTGATTCCCGGACCATCCGCAGGCCCAATTTAGAAGGCGATTGGGCTGGATCCGGCCCCCGGGCCTTAGTTTGCCTACCCATGATTTACAATTAACACACAGAAAGTGGCATGGAGCCATCCACCCTTGGTTACGAATTGCTCGCTCTGAACCTCTGCCCCTTCCACAGCATGGAGCACAGTGTGCCAATGTCCCTTCCTCCCTCCCTTGTAATTCCCTTGCATTTTAACCCTTTCAGCTCTCCTGGAGCAGGGGAGGGTGGATGGACTTCTTCTCCACTATCAAACGAAGAGGCCTCCCTTCTGGTTGCATAGCAACCCCCTCAGGGCTGCCTGTTTCCTCCCCCAGCCCACTGCAAGCCTTCTGAGCATAGCTGTCAAGCGTCCCTTATTTGGAGGGACAGTCCCTTATTCCAGCGCCATGTCCCGCTGCTGTCTTTATTGATGGATGTCCCTTAAATGTCCCTTAAATGATGTCCCTTAAATTTCAAATGAAGCAGCTCCTCTCCCTCCCTACCTGCCAGCCAGGGAGGAGGGAGGCTCCAAGTGTGTTGCTTTGCTGTGTTGCTCACCCAATAAGAAGTCTAAGAATGACTGGGGGGTGGAGCTTGCATGCCTTGTGCTGATCAAATCAGCTGCGTTGCCTGGGGATTCGCCTTTGCTCAGCGCTTCCCAGCGGAGAGGTGACGGTGGTTTTCCTTGAGGCTTCGTTTGGCTGCTGGCTGGGCTTTCTGCCTTTGGCTCAGAGGGGCTCAGAGCTGAACATACCTGTGCTGAGTGCTCGGATCAGAATCGGATGGATACGTCATTGACGGCCCACTCACCCTTGCTAGTGAAAAGGTCTGTCTGGAGCGGGGGACATGGTGGGAGAAAAGGAAAGGAGATCTCGTGGGAGGGGGGGCTTTTGAATTTGTTTTGGAGGCTCCTTCGATTGACTTATGGGGGAAAAGAAAGGAGCTGGTTGACTAAAATGGTGGGTGACTGGAGATCTCATGGCGAGGGGGGGGAGGCTGTGTGTGTGTGGCTAGTTAATGCAAGCTGAGGGGTTTTTTGAATGCTGGACGCCATTTTGTTGCACGTGCTGCTGCAAACTTTGCAGTGCAAAGCCAGGCTGGGGAGCCATCTTAAGTTGAGGCTGCATAGGCCTTGTGGTGCATGAGATTCGGATTCTATTCAGTTGAACCTCTGGTTACAAAGTTGGTTGGACAGTGTTCTTGAAGCTACCAGCATGAGTTTGACCAGACTGCAGGAGGACAGGAAGACTGGAGTGCCTGGAACAGGTTAGGCTGCAGGTCCCTTATTTTGGCTGCTGATCCCTTATTTTCAAGGCTGCTGGTCCCTTATTTTCAAATCTGTAAGTTGACAGCTATGCTTCTGAGTCTACTTCTCCATCTGCAGCTGGAAACTTTGGAGGACGTGGGGACAAACTAATCCATTCTTGCTCTGACTATGACTGCAATCCCTCATCTCCAGAGTCTGACTCTTCCCAGGGGTCTGGCTCAGCCGTGACTCTGACACCCATTCATGTTTTAGGGCTAGCTATTAGAAAGAATGAAAGCCATGAAGTGTAGGAAAGGCCATAGATTAGTTTTTCCTACTTATCATGTTTGATGACAGCCTCAGTAGGTTCTAGATTGTAGGGCTAGGTGGAGAACCTTTTTTTAGTTGCTGGGCTACATTGGCTAATTCAATATTGGATTAATGCAGAGGTTTTCAACCTTTCTGAGTCCATGGCTCCCTTGACTGACATTCTTTCTGCAGCACCTGAACGATGGGGGTGGAGACGCTCCTTCAGGTATACTGGGCTGAGGCCATTGAGGACTTTAAAGGTCAGACCAGCACTTTGAATTGTGCTTGGAAACGTACTGGGAGCCAGTGTAGGTCTTTCAGGACCAGTGTTATATGGTCCCGACGGCCACTCCCAGTCACCAGTCTAGCTGCCGCATTCTGGATTAGTTAAAACATAATAAAACGCTACAGCACCCAGTATTCCCAGGAGGTCTCCCATCCAAGTACTAACCAGGCCTGACCCTGCTGAGATTGGGTGTGTTCAAGGTAGCATGGGGATAGTATAGTACTAGCACTGTTACCAGTGTCACACAGTACCCATTCTGTATCTGCAATAAATCAATATTTTTGTGTGGTAGCACAACACTTTGGAACGTCCTGCCTATTGGTATCAGGCAGGCACCTTCACTGCACTATTTTTGGCACCTGATAAAAACATTTGTGTTTAGATAAGCATATCTACATGCAAGATGGTGGGTTTTTTGGCTAGGTTTTTTTTTTTTAAAAAAGATCATTTTAATTGTTTTTAGTAATAATTTTATTCTTTTTTATTCTTTTTAAAAACTGCTTTGAGGGTTTGTTTGTTTTTTACAATCTAGTGGTGTATGAATTTTATAATATTAAATAAACTTTCCAGGGACCACATGGGTGGAAACAGAAGTAAAAGTGGACAGAAATGAATGCCAATTTTTCCTTTTGCACATACACTCTGACACACTGATCTCTACCCTCCCTCCAGGCAAGCAATTGGCTTTGTCGGAGTTTAAAGAGATATTCAGGCAAAAACACTTTGGCTGTATGTGAAGGAGAGCTAGTAAGGGGTGTTAGGAGAATTATAAGGTCTAAAATATAAAATAAATGTTCATAAATGTACCAGGCAAACATGTACATGAGCATATAAACCACATGTCTGAAACAGTACAGGAAAAAAGTCCTGAAACCATTTTGTCTCTCCCAAATTGACTTCAAATGTTTCTCTGCAAGGACAAAGGAAATGAGAAAACCTCTCCATTTCATAGCTGTCAAACGGCCCTTATTTGGCAGGAAACTCCCTTATCCCAGTGTCGTGTCCCGCTGATGTCCCTTATTGATGATGTCCCTTAAATTTCCCGGGTTTCAAAGGAAACAGCTCCTCTCCCTCCCTCTCTGCTGGCCAGGGAGGAGGGAGGCTCCAACTGTGTTGCTTGGCTGCATTGCTCACCCAATAAGGAGTCTAAGAATGACTGAGGGGGGTAGTGCTTGCATGCCTTGTGCCAATCAAATCAGCCGCGTTGTCTGGAGACTCGCCTTTGCTCAGCACTTCCCAGCGGAGAGGTGACGGTGGTTTTCTTTGCTGCATCCTCTTTGACGGGTTGCTGCGCTGTGGGAACCACCACTTGAGGCTTCATTTGGCTGCTGGCTGGGCTTTCTGCCTTTGGCTCGGAGGGGCTCAGAAGTTGAACATACGTGTGCCCAGAAAATCCCTTACTGTGGCTGCTGATCCCTTATTTTCGAGGCTGCTGGTCCTTTATTTTCAAATCTGTAAGTTGATAGCTATGCCCCAATGTCTCTGTCCCACGAATCCTTTCTTAAGGGGTATCAGTGCATGAATAGGGTGAGCCTGTGACCAGGAACTGAGTATTTACCATCACAAAAGAATCGCCAGACTGCCCAAGTAATGCAATCAATGATCATTCTCAGGTAACCTGGTAGACAGGTTTTCTGCTGTAGACTGCCTCTTCTGTGATGTATGTATGATGTATTGTGGGGGGGAGGGTCTTGGTCTGCAGGGTGGACCAACACCAGCTGATGACATGACTCCCAAATCAACACAGACTGTGGAAACTTCACACTGGACTTCAGGCATCTGGCATCGTGTGCCTCCCCATTCTTCCTCCAGATTCGGGCTCCTTGGTTTCCAAATATAATAATAATAATAATTTATTATTTGTACCCCACCCATCTGGCTGGGTTTCCCCAGCCACTCTGGGCGGCTTCCACAGAAACCAAAAATACACTAAAATCATACATTAAAAACTTCCCTGAACAGGGCTGCCTTAAGATGTCTTCTGAATGTCAGGTAGTTGTTTATCGCTTTGACATCTGATGGGAGGGCGTTCCACAGGGCGGGCGGCACTACCGAGAAGGCCCTCTGCCTGGTTCACCGTAGCTTTGCTTCTCGCAATGAGGGAACCGCCAGAAGGCCCTCAGCGCTGGATCTCAGCGTCCGGGCAGAACGATGGGGGTGGAGACTCTCCTTCAGGTATACTGGACCGAGGCCATTTAGGGCTGTAAAGGTCAACACCAACACTTTGAATTGTGCTCGGAACCGTACTGGGAGCCAATGTAGATCTTTCAAGATCGGTGTTATGTGCTCTCAGCGGCCGCCCCCAGTCACCAGTCTAGCTGCCGCATTCTGGATTAGTTGTAGTTTCCCGGGTCACCTTCAAAGGTAGCTCCACGTAGAGTGCATTGCAGTAGTCCAAGCGGGAGATAACCAGAGCATGCACCACTCTGGTGAGACAGTCCGCGGGCAGGTAGGGTCTCAGCCTGCGTACCAGGTGGAGTTGGTAGACAGCTGCCCTGGTTACAGAATTGACCTGCGCCTCCATGGACAGTTGTGAGTCCAAAATGACTCCCAGGCTGCGCACCTGGTCCTTCAGGGGCACAGTTACCCCATTCAGGACTAGGGAGTCCTCCACACCAGCCCGCCCCCTGTCCCCCAGAAACAGTACTTCTGTCTTGTCAGGATTCAACCTCAAGCCATTAGCCGCCATCCATCCTCCAACCGCCTCCAGGCACTCACACAGGACCTTCACCGCCTTCACTCGTTCTGATTTGAAAGAGAGGTAGAGCTGGGTATCATCTGCATATTGATGGACACCCAGCCCAAACCCCCTGATGATCTCTCCCAGCGGCTTCATATAGATGTTAAAAAGCATGGGGGAGAGGACGGAACCCTGAGGCATCCCACAAGTGAGGGTCCAGGGGTCTGAACACTCATCCCCCACCACCACTTTCTGAACACGGCCCAGGAGGAAGGAGCGGAACCACTGTATAACAGTGCCCCCAGCTCCCAGCCCCTCTAGACGGTCCAGAAGGATGTTATGGTCGATTGTATCAAAGGCCGCTGAGAGATCCAGCAGAACTAGGAAACAGCTCTCACCTTTGTCCCTAGCTCGCCGGAGATCATCAACCAGCGCGGCCAAGGCAGTTTCAGTCCCATGATGAGGCCTGATTGGAAGGGATCCAAATGGTCCCCATCCTCCAGGCGTGCCTGGAGTTGTTCAGCAACCACGCACTCAATCACCTTGCCCAAGAATGGAAGATTTGAGACTGGGTGATAGCTGGCCATACTGGCTAGGTCTAAAGATGGTTTTTTAAGAAGTGGTTTAATGACCACCTCTTTCAGCGGATCTGGGAATGTTCCCTCACAGAGGGAAGCATTCACCACCCCGCAGAGCCCATCGCCCAGCCCTTCCCGGCTTGCTTTTATTAGCCAGGATGGGCAAGGATCAAGGAGACAGGTGGTTGGTTTCACGCGTCCAAGCAGCCTGTCCACATCCTCAGAGGTAATGGATTGAAATTGATTCCATGCAACTTGACCAGACAGGGCTCTAGCACTCTCCCGCCCCAGCCCTGCTCCCACGGTGGTGTCTAGCTCCTTCCGAATATGAGTGATTTTATCTGCAAAAAACTTTGCAAAATCGTTGCAGGAGATCTTGGGGTCTTTACAAGGCCCCGGTGGTAAAGGTGGTTCCGTTAAATTGTGGACCACCTGAAAGAGTCTCCTGCTACTATTTTCTGCAGAGGCAATAGAGGCGGTGAAGAAAGTCTTCTTCGCTGTTGCTATCGCCACTTGGTTGGCTCGACGTTGAGCTCTAACCTGTGTCCGGTCAGATTCGGAATGAGTTTTCTGCCACCGACGCTCTAGCCGTCTCAGCGATTGTTTCATCGCCCTCAGCTCCGAAGAAAACCACAGGGCTGTCCGGGCTCCATGCAGTCGGAGAGGGCGCTCGGAGCCAGACAGCCCTAGTTAACTCCGCATTCCAGCGGGCCACCAGGGAATCATCTGAAAGGCCATCAACATGGGATAAAGCATCCCCTACCACTCTCTGGAAACCATTTGGATCCATTAAGTGGCGGGGGCGGACCATCCGGATTGGTCCCACCTCCCTGCAGAGGGGAAGGGTCATGGAGAAGTCCAGTTGCACCAGGAAGTGATCTGACCATGGCACTTCTTTTGTTTCACTTTTACTTAGTGTCAGATCACCCACATCACTAGAGGTGAACACCAGGTCTAAGGCAAACTTATTCAGGGACAGCCCTATGGAGGCCATGCTTTCCACGAAGTCCCGAGCGGCCCCTTGTAAGGTCGTGTCGGCATGGATGTTAAAATCCCCTAGGACAACCAAACTAGGTGTCTCCAGGAGAACATCCGCCATGACCTGAAGCAGCTCGGACAGGGAATCCTTGGTGCAGCGGGGAGGTCGGTACACCAGTAGGAATCCTGTACTGCCCCTATTGCCCAACTTCCAGAACATGCACTCAGAAAACTGGGTCTTCCCAATAGGATGCCTGGTGCAAGCTAATGACTTCCTAAAAATCACTGCAACCCCCCCCTCCCTGCCCACATGACCTGGGTTGCTGTGCGTAAGAGAAACCTGGTGGGCAAGCAGCGGCAAGGACAGGCCCATCTGCTTCTTCCAACCAGGTCTCTGTCACACATGCCAGGTCAGATCCTCCATCCACAATCAGGTCGTGGATGGCAGTGGTTTTATTCATCATTGACCTGGCATTACACAGCAACACCTTCAGGTCATGTGGGTTTCCCCTGTTGATTCCAGTATCCATCCGGTCAAGGCCAGACCCAGAGGCAGGGATAGTCTTCAAACAACGACTAAACCTGCCTCCTCGGTAATGACATGGTCTGGTCTTAGCGTAACTCCTCCTCCTGCCCATGATCACCAAGATCGGATGTCCCAGTGCTTCCCCCCCTGTGGAACTTGTCCCAGCCATCGTGTTGGCTGGGGCCCCACTCCCAGGCAGCCCTGATCCCGCCCCTTAAAAACAAAACACAATCTATACAGAACCAATAAAACAACAAAAAACAAAAACAGAACAATTATACTAAAATTAATCCCTAACCAAATATCCATTCCACCCACCTACCCCCAACAAAGCAAAAAAGGAAAAAAAGAAATAAAAATTTAAAATGCCACCGGCTGCTTGAGGACATTTTAAACACATTAACCACTTGGAACCGGGAAGCAATGGCAGAACAACTTCCCACACTTCCCCAAAA